TTTGGATGCATTTGGGATGCATTTGGATGCATTTGGGATGCATTTGGGATGCAATATGACGCATTTGGATGCATTTGGTATGATGTAATGTTGCGGCCAAGCAGTTGTGGAAGCGATTTGGGAAGCAACCAAAGTAAACTAGTATGAGGTACCTGATACGTCAGCTATTGGTGGACAAAGCTAGCTGCTAGATGACCTGCTTGTGAACTTGTGAGAAAGGATATATATATATATATATATATAGAACTGTAATTGTATCTTGGGTGTTTCACCATCACCAATAACCTGGTTTTGTGGACCAGGTGATAGTTTATTTTCCCTACGGTTAAAACCTCTTCTGGTGATTTGTTTTTCAAGGTCCTTGTTCTGATCGTTATTTTCACATGATCCATATGTGATCGTCAGACTTGCACACAATCTAGATGCAATGTACATCACTTAGCACATTTTCATTTCAGACATTTCCCAGCATGCTTGGTGTGTGGATGACACTTCCTTGCTCCACAGAGGAGACCCACATAGACTTTGAACAGGGCTGCCCTCTTTTCCGGTTGTGGTTTGCAGTTTCTACTGAGCTTCAATGATCTGTAACCGAAAGCTTGGGTCTCCTAGTAGAAGTGGTATCCGGTGTCGGCAGGGCACGTCCCATCCGTCCAGACCATCCGGCCCCAGATCTATCGAAAGCAGGTGCCACCCACCATCAAGGAGATTGAGGCGGGAAGAAGATGGGTGTGGATTAGACAATCAAACGCAGAGTTCATAAGAGATCCACCTGCCTAGGGGGGGCTATTTTGTTCTGGAGGGCGGCGAGAAACGCAGTTAAACACGTTGATGGACAGATGGTTAGTCGACCATGTTTCCGGGAGAGTTTCCACAGATTCGTCTCTGCGTCTCAGGATTCGTCACAGAGTATGATTAGGAGGTGTCCCATTCCCTGTAGCAGTCGGTCAACGATCAGTATGTTTGAGAAAGGTCTCTACTCATCATCCACTGGGCCCAGGGTGGTTGGGAGATACCTAAAGAGAATGAATGAGTGCGCATGGAGAAGCAGATGAGAAGCAGCCGCTCCGTCTTGATGATCATCACATGTTCCTCCCCACCAGGGGTCCGGGGCTCCCCGGGTTCAGTCGGAGGGACGCTCTGCCGCGCGGAGAGAAGTCGGAAGGAGGGAGTAGAGCATCTCATTGGATCTACTTGGGCACCAAGATGTCCCACGAATGAGGGAGACAATTGGGCATTGTGATCCCAAAGATTTCGGCCAACAGATGTGAGTGGAGTGGAGCAGATGTGGTTTTGACTGGTCTGAATGGTGGCACAAAAAGGCCCCCAACATCACGGAGCATTTGGGCAGCTGGTTGTTTCCACTTCCAGCTCCCAAGCGATGGCCCGAAACCTCGCCCCCTCCCTCCGGTCTCCATCCCGGTCCCGCTCCGTTCAGCGGACCGCGCCGTCCCTCCGTCGCGGTGTCCTGTGTGGCATGGAGGGGAGACCGTCGTCTACCCTGAGAATCCGTGGTTTGTAGAGGAAACCAGTACTTGACCTGGGTGCCGTTCGACCTGGGTCGTTTTCGAAAAAGGAGTGTCCATGATGGTCTAGGGAATTCTAAGGGATGTCTATGGTATGGCACCCGGCACCCGACCCATCGAATTGTAGGCTCTTGATTCATCAAGTCCTCCCATGTCCATGGAATGCAACACCTCTAGAAAAGGCCTGGTGGAATTGAAAGATCATCTCAGAGTCTACCAGGAGTCATGTTCGTCGGGGTGCCAAACCACCCAGGCCCTCAGACTTTATATTTATAAACATGTATGGTTCTTGCATTCTTGCATGCACAAACTCACAAACTAAAAATAATTGTAGGTTGACATCCTGGAACCGAACCGCCTCCGCCAACCGCCCTCCGCGCGCAAACCGCCAGTGCTCGCCTTCGCGGCAACGGAGCGCGCCCGCCTTGATGGGACGACCGGTGGTGCCCAGGTGGGGAGGGGAGTGGACGAGGGCGACGAGTGTGAGGATGGTGGATTGGTGTGTCTGAAGAACTTTCAGTTGACACTTGGTTCGAGCAGAAACCGCCAGGCAGGGCTAGCAGGGCTAGCAGGGCTAGCAGGGCTAGCAGCTAGGTGTTGGCCGATCCGGACTTCCTCAGGGTTTGGTACTGTCTTAAATGTATTTTCAGGTGTTTTCTCCACCTACTACAGGGATCACCTGGAATGTCCTCCGCTTCAGGCCATCCCCAAATCAACTCTGGATCAAATCAACTAGCTGCCAAGAGTGGTGGTGACATGGTCTATGACCCTTCGCAACTCAATGGACCCTTAGTGCACCCAAGGGGACTTCTGAGAAGGAGCCAGCCACCCGTCGCCCGCCGAGTCCAGAAGTTCGAAGCCGCACTCGGATCCGAGTCGCAGGCGACGAGTCGGAGGTGTGAGGTGTATGTCACAGGCCCTTTCGATCCGAGGAGCCTCCGGAAGGTTCATAGTTTGTTGGAGCTCTATAAGAATCAAGGACCCGACCTGTTCGGTGAAGGTTTGGTTCGGGTCCCAATGTTCTGCGTTCAGGGTCCGAACATGTCCAAACCCTCCAGAAGTGGTCGGGTCCAATGATTCTTAGGGGAGTGTTTCTTTCGTCCAGATCCTCCCATCCGGTGGCAGCACACATGGTGGCGCCTGACCACATGAGCGAGCGACTCCGCCATGAACTCGCGTGACCTCCGCCCATGTAATTGCCGACCGATCGGTGCCGGTGCCGTGCGTTGGTCTGAAAACGAAGAGAGGGGGTTTTTGTGAAAAAGACCTATAGACACGACCGACACGACCGACCGCACTGGCAGATGTTTCGGGGAGAGGATGGAAGAGGCCACATCCCGGACCGAGATGCCAGTCCGGAGGCCGCGTTGGATTTTGGGGAGACCCCCAAGAGTCGAATTCCCTCCGGAGTCTTCGAGCCGGAAAGACCCAGCCGAGCGGGGGCCAAGAGGGCGATCGGGGGTCTGGATTCAAAAGACCCACCATGAGTGGAGAGGTGACTGAAGCGTGGCCCTTCTGTGCATGATGAGGTACTGTAAGTTGGTTCACGAAACATTCCTGTCCGGCGGTCGTCCTGTTCAAAAAATGGTGCAGAACCGTTCTGCGGATTGATGGCGCGCTGTGCGGCGAACGAGGCTCCAACTGGGCTCCGCGAAGAATGGCGTGGATGTGGACGCCACCTGGCGGCCGACGGTGGATGAGACGATGCGGGGGGGATGGGCGTTCGCGTGGCTTTGGAGGGTTGCGACCTTTTGAGTGGGTCTCCCAGCCTCTCCTTGTGGCCTTTCCTTTTAAAGCTCTTTCTGTCCTGACATTGGTGCCGCTTGACCCTCGCAGAGGCTCCCCTTGGTCGACCCGGAAGCCCTCCTACTGATTGATTTGATCGGCCAATCACAATTGATTTGGTGCCTCCTCTGTGGTCATTGTGGGCGCCGTGCCAGGCACGGCGGCCAGGGCGGCCAGGTTCGCAGGAGTTTGGACTGAGACGTTGAATGGTGAGCAAGACCATCATATGGTACTCGTAATAAATCCGACACGGCATGGGGCTGAGCAAAACGTCTTGGGTGGTGCAGTCTTGGGTGGCAGTCTGTGATCATTGTCATAAACACCATGTCATCTGAAATTGCATCGAGAAACATATGAAAGATCACCACTGACCTACCACACTGGCTGGACCTATTTTCCCATTCGGACTGGACCTGGCAAACATCTGTGAAAGAGCTTGGGCTCGATTTGGCACCTGCCCTGAGGGGATCTATTCGTCTTCTTAATCCCACCCCCTGCAGCACCGCCCTTGGTGCATCTATCAGTCGATGCCTCAGTCGATGCTCTGGTTTGATCTGGCTTCGTCTTGGGCTGTTTTTCGCCCCCCAAAAGAGACCTGTGGAGTCGGCTGGTGGGGTGACCGAAGTGGTCAAGGAGTCGACCCGTTCGGATGGATCCCAAAACCACCGCGACTCAGCGGATGCGGTGCCCGTTCGGCCGAGCGCCGAAGCGAAAGGATCTGCTGGAGGGGCGAGTGCTAGGGCGAACCGTGTGTGTTGCGGCTGGAGATCAGTGACATCTTCCCGATGAGGATGGTAGTTCCCTAGGTCTGGGGAGGTAGATCCCTAGATGAGCTGGGGAGGCGGTTTTGTAGGTGAGCAGGGGTGGTAGTGGAGGATTGGAGTGATTTATAGCGACTGGTGAGACCTTCCAGTTGAGAAGGATTCCCCTCGCCAGTCCTCTTCCAAGGCCAATTTGAACCCCACACCCTCTGCTTCCTCGGTGGGGGTGCCTAGTCGTGCGAGTGAGCCAGGTGGTCGGGACAGCTGAGAAGAAAGGTAGACTCTTGAGACTCTTGATTATCCCAACACCTCTTCATATATGGAGGGTTGAAACATACTCCTGGGAAGATAAATTAACATGGAGCCTGAAAACCACTGGGTGGTAGAGGAAAAAATTGTCGTACTCAAGAATGTACATTACTGATCATCCGTTTAGATGAGCGCATGGCCCCAAACTCTAGAGGAAGCCGAAGATACCAGCCCAAGCCAGTTCATTTCGCTTCGTTTCACGTTACCTTTCTGGTTCCACCAGCAGTGTCTACGAGCCTGGGTCCCTTTTTCATGTCTACTCCCTCATCGCCTCGCCGTGGTCGAAACGACGCCTCGCCTCATCGCGGATCGATCCACCGGGGAGTCCTCGGATAGACCGAACGGGGCATCCGCAAAGCACGAGGGTCGCTGGGAGTCCCGTCGTGGTTCGCAACGACTCAAACCGACCGAAGGAGAATCCCTGGTTCCTTACTACTAAGTGGTTTGCCTGGGATGCACTGGGAGAGTGACGTTGGCCGTTTGGCGAAACAGTTCTCCTTTCGTGAACGAACGAAGATGTTTCGCCCAGCCAGGCTCGCGGTGTAGGGTCAGGACTTGGTAACGGCGCAGTCACGCAGTTGGTTTTGGGTTTCTGCAAACGGGTGAGCTAGAAACACCCAGCTTCATAAGCACTCAGCTTACCCATAGTCAAAGCTCGGAAGAAACACTCTACCACCTCAGAGCACCAAAACGCCTCAGGCCTTAAAGGCAACTTCTGAGAGAACAGACGGTCACCAGACACATCCAGTTTTGACAGACGACTCCTGGACACTCGGAGACCCCATCTATTAAGCTACATTGACCCCATCTATTGAGTACCTGGTCAGTCCGGTACCCCGGAAGTGGGGTCAGTACCCAGGAAGTACCCAGTAAGTACCAGGGTAATGTATATTCAGTACCCAGGAAGTCCGGACGATCTTTTGACTGTTTCCCATTCAGGTCCCCAAGGACCAGTTTTGAAGAAGTCATTGACGTAAGCCCTAAGAATCCGGGCTC